CACATACACACATATACATACACACATGCAGACGTATATGCGCACATACACACACATACACGCACCCGCACATACATATACGTACACATACACACATGCACACACATAGACATACAAGCACACGCATACACACATACACACACGTGCACACATACATGCACACATACACGTGCACGCATACGCACACATACAGACATACACACATACACGCACACACGCACCCACATATACACACCACATGCACACATATGCACACTCGCATACACACGCCTACACATACACTCATGCACGCACGCACACGCACGTACGCACATGTACATACACAAATATATACACACACCCGCATATACGCGTACATACACACACATAAACACACACGTACACACACGTTCAAATACACGCACATACACATACACACGTACACATCCATACACATGCACACACGTACACACGCATACGCATACACACAAACTCACACATACGCAGACACACATACACACACATTCGCATACACACACATCCACGTACACGCACATACACATACGCACGCATACGCATGCACCCACATACTCACGCATTCACACACATACACACATACACGTATACGCATACGCATACACGCATACACATACGCACACATACACACACATACACACATGCGCATGCACACTTGCAGACACACACACGTCCAGACCCATACACATGCACCCACAAACACACATACACACATTCACACACCCACACACATACACATAAATATCCATACACATACACAAATGCACACATGCATGTACACACATGCACCTGCACACACACGCGCACTCACATACACACATACACACTCACATGCACACATGCGCACATACATACACATACACTCGTACACACATGCACATACGCACAAATACACACGCGCACACATACACACACCCACATACACACGCACACACATACACACATACACGCCTATGCACATACACACTCATACGCACACGTACACACATACACACACCCATACACATACACACACGCACACATACACACATACACATACACGCATACACACACATACACGCAGGTACACACACGTGCAGACTCACACGCGTACACACATGCACGCACATACACACGTACACTCACATGCACATACACACACATGCACACACATCCACATACACCCACATACTCACGCATGCACACACGTACACGCCCACAGGGATGGACATACACACACATACACACATACGCACACATACACACGCGTACACATACACACCCACACACATACACACGCATGCGCATACTCACATACGCATACATACACGTCCATATACATACACACATACAAATACACACAAACACATCCATACACATGCACACACATACACATACGCCCACACACACACATACAGACATGCAGATATACACATACGCACAGATGCACATACGCACACATACACACATATACATACACGCGTACACGCACACATGCAGACACATGGCACATACAGACCCGTACACATGCACATACACACACACGCACATGCACACATACACACACGTGCACATATATAGATACACGCACGTACACATACGCATACATACATATGCACACACACGTACACGTACATACATACACACATGCAGACACATGCACACACATACACATACACGCATGCACATGCACACATGCACGTCCATACACATGCACGCACATGCACACACATGTGTACATGCACATGCATACACATGGACACATGCACATACACACATACGCATACACACGCGCACGCTCACATACACACACGCATACACATATACGCACTCAGATGCACATGTATACACATGCACACATACACACGCGTACACAGAGACACATACACATATACACCCACATACATACATTCACATCCATACACATGCACAGTCATACACACATCCGCACATACACACCCATACACATGCACACATATACACATACACACACATGCACTCACATGCAAATACAACCAGTCCCACACATACATACATACACATACATTCATACACACATACACGCATACACATGCACACACATACACACAGACACATCCACACACACATACCCATACACATGCACACATACACACACATGGACACCCACACACATGGATATACACATACACACACATACACTTATACACATTCACGCACATATACACACGCACAAACACGCGTACACATGCGCGCACACACGTACATGCACACGCATGCAAACACGTACACACAGACCGGTACACATGCACACGCATACACACATACACATGCACACATACACACATTTGCAAATACACACACCTACACACATACGCACACACACATACGCGCGTATACACGCACGTGCACGTGTGCACATACACACACATACGCGCATACACACATACATACACGCCCACACGCACACGCACAAGCACACACGCACACGCGCACACACACACACGTACACACATACACACATGTATGCACATAGACACACATTCATACGCACACGCACATGCATGCGCGTACACGCGCCCACACACACACACGCGCATACACACGAGTGCATACATACACACATGCACACACACATACGCATGCGTACACGCAACACACACTTACACACACATGCATGCACGCACATATTAATGATATCTCAAAAGTTAAGGCCTTGTCGAAGTGCTTCTGTGGGGAAAGCCGTTGGGCTCGGTATTGCTTTGGGAAAGGAAATGATCGGGAACATATTGACCGCTAGGTAATGCAGCAACTGATCAAAGCAGTTGAAAGACTTTCCATCTGTATAGCTAAAAAACGGTTATATGAGCTGTAATTGGTTAAAGTGTTTTCTTTTTTGTTTCCCATCTTGCCCTAGCACTGATCGCTCTGGTCATGTTGGTTCCTCAAAGCTGGGAAATTGAATCCGAAACCTTTAATTTTTTAGGAACAGTTGTTGTCAAAATGTTACTTATAACTGGAAATGCAACTGAAAAAGCGATTCAGGCGAGTAGAATTTATTTTCTGTTTTAACTGCTTTCTTTCGCAGCTGCTCTACAACATTTTTGCATTTTGCTTCTCATGCACAGCTATTGGCAGGCTTGCTAGCACAGATGATTACTTTTAGC